GATTTGCACAATTTCTGTCTGAAAAATCTTCTTTTGAAGAGTATAATGCATTATGGTGGCATATTTTGGCATAAGGCATAATACATGCAATTTGCTGTTGTTTAATCTATTACATTAAAATATTATATTCATTATGAATAATGTGTATTATAATCTAATCAATCAGAGTTAATATTGTTAACTAAAACCAAAACTATTACAAACATTTCTGTTAATTGAAATAGAGCTGAAATTAAGTCAAATCTAATATACTTATAGATGATTATAGATATCTAAAAATAATACAAAACATTTTTGTAGCTTGAAATAAACTTTAACCGAAATAAAATTAATTAAAAAACTTTTTTTACTTGATATTGATGTACTAAAAGTGAAATAAAAATAATAAAAAACTATATACATTTAAAAAATACTAATAAAAATTACATGCAGTTTGGTGTTCTTTAATGTATTATACATTAAAGTGTAATATCCATTATGGATATAAAAACATAAAATGAATCATAATGTGTATTATAAGGGGTTGTGAATAATGATTATTATTGTTAACTATTAAAACACTTCTGATATTTGAAACAAAGCTGAAATCAAATAATATCTAGATATTAATTAAATGAAAATTTGTTAAAAGGCTAAAATAGTACAATGACTTACTAGTAAAAATTAAAACTGAACTAAAAACAACTGAAACAAAAATAAATTCAACCTAAATAGTAATATAAAAAATGATTTAATTTAATTTATAATGAAAATGAAAAAAGCACTTAACAAAAATACAAAAATTAAACTAAAAAAAAATGAAAATATAATATTTTTTTCAAAATATCAATAAAAACTACAACAGTACAAAAATAATACTATGAATCAATTATAGAGCATGAAGGACTCCTTTATAATGAATTTTATATACAGTACATAACAGAATGTGTTACCATATCACTAATAAAACAACATAAGCTTTCTTCATTATCAATAAATTGCCTAAAGGCAGTTTTAACAACAAACCCGACCACAGAACATAGTATTTACACCATCATGAGCGTCTGGTTTGCTTTAAAAGCGTGTAAGGTCATAGGAAATAATGCCTGATGATTGACATTAGCCCATGCAGCAGAACTGCAGCTCCACCCCTAAATAAAATCGGAGAAAATAGCATAATTATTCAATTTAGCCACCATAAACACTGACCTTTGCCTACTCGCAAAACTGTCGCTTGGCACGCACAGCCATGCTAACTTATGAGCTAACCGCTAACACCGCCGGTGCACCACAGCTCTACAAAACAGCTTTAAAAGGAAGTTCTGCGCTGCCACTATAATGTACAATTACTGCGCTTGGCCCCGCGTTCCCCCGTCATTAGCAGAGCATTTATGTAAACGGTACGTGTTGCTACCGCGGGTGAGCATTATCTCCAGCCGCCAACAGCACACGAGCCGCTGCCAATACCCCTGCCCTCCGCCAAGCACGCTGAAGGAGAAGGATCAAATCAAATTAAATGCTGACACTGCTGGAGAAAATATGGCTGACATTTCAGAAGAAAGTGCCATAATGCTGTAAAGTGCTACGTTTTTCTCTTGGCAGGATCGTGCGCTTCCTAATGAGGTAAAATTAAGAGAGAGAGAGTTCAGTGCGACTGAGGGTTTGACTGCGCGTCAAGAACTAGTTATTATTTAGATCCTCTTCCATAACGTTTGATTGTGCCGCCACTGAAATTATGTTTCAGCTGAGCTGTGGGTTTGTGATGTATGTGAACTGAAAGAATTCAACACAGCTTTAAAAGATTCACAAATGATTCTATTGAGCGGCTCTTTTTAATTAATTCCCGGGAAAGACGAAGACTGTTGAATCCGTCCAAATTACTAAAAGAATCATTAATGGAAACATTAGGAAACCAGAATTTAAATCAGAACAACAAACTCACAGAACAACCTAGTTCAATTCACAAATGACTCCTCTGAATCGGTCTTTTAATAAATTGGCCAAAAGAACCAAACCAGCCTCAATCTCACATTATCATTCTGAATCGGTCTAAATTACTAAAAGAATCAATCAGGAAACCAGAATTGGAAGCTGAACAACAAACTGTCTAGTCTGAATCACGAATGACTCTTTTGAGCAGTTCATGAAATGGTCAAAGACTAAGAAAAGAACCAAATCAGTCTCAATTTCACGTTATCATTCTGAATCAGTTTAAAGTACTAAAGAATCGATAATGGAATTAAGAAACTAGAATCTATAACAGAACAACAAACTCACAGAACAACAGTCCAATTCACAAATAACTTTTAAGCAATTCTTGTTAATCAGTTGGACAAAAGACTCAGACAAGAACCAAGTCTCAATTTCAAATGTTAGTGGTTTGAATCATTCTAAATAAAACAGCTCATTCTAACACGCCCCCACATATCTACATCACTATGTGAGAAGATTTGCATAACGCCGCCCAAATGTTCATGCAAAGAAGGAAGGCGTAACTTTTATTCTCGCTGTAGTATTGTTGCCGCCGCCGCCATGTCGTGAAGACACTGTGTGCTTCGTTGTGAAAGCGAAACTACTTTGTTTGGCCTTCCAAAAGAGGACGATATCGCTTCGTCATGCCTGGAGCTGATCCGTGCTGGTCGCTGAGGAAATACATCAACTTCGCGCTGTGGATCGGGTTTCACTGTGAACGAAGCGGAGTCCAGCCCGGGGTCGTCACATGTGGTTGCCGCAGGCATCACAATATGGTAAGGGAAGTAACATTTCCGTCACACGCTTGAGGAACTCGGCCAATCACAACGCACTGGATAGCTGGCCAATCAGAGCACACCTCGCTTTTTCAGACCGATGAGCTTTGTAAAAATCGACGCGTTTCAGAAAGGTGGGGCATAGAGGAGAAACAATAATGTACAGTATGTGGAAAATAATGTGTTTTTTGAACCTTAAACCGCATATTCATTGCATACATTTGCAACACATTTCATTACACCAAATACACAAAATAATGTTCTTTTTAGCTGCATCATATGACCCCTGCCGGTGCTTTTAATTACAAAGCGGAAACCTACATAGATCTTCCGCTGTCTCCCCGAACTGAGCTAGCGCTGAACAGTGACCTTCTCCGAGTGGTCCAGTGCACTTACATTCTAGAGGTGAGAATGTTTTCTTATGATAAATTTTATATGTTTTCATTTGGCATATTTTAAATAATCACTGACTATTTCAAGAAGATTCCCTGTCTTTTAAACCATTATTTGTTTCGCACATTGATCTGTAAATGACAAGGCCTTGCTGAGCGCCTTAAATGAATCAACATTGGTTAATGACTTAAGCTTGACGCCTGAATGGTCCACATGAATCGAGGCGTGTGTTTTTTTCCACAGCCTCTGCGGGAATTTTGTTTCTATATTAGACGGTGAAAAGAGCTGTTGTTCCTTTCGCCTTCCAAGAGACGCGTTATCTTTAAACTCAACCGAGCTTGGCATGAATGCGTGTTATACTCTGACAGTGAAATACTGAGAATGTTTTTGCACTTTTTTGGTTACTGTCTGCTGCATCATATGACCCCCTTTAAGAAAATGCAAAGAAACCAGAATCTAATTCAGAACAACGAACACACAGTACAACCTAGTTCAAATCACAAATGACTCTTTCGAGCAGTTATTTTTCCATGAGATTGTCAAAAGACTCGGAAAAGAACCAAATTTAAAGATTAAGGAAAACTTTGCTAAACCTCCTTTGAGCTGCGTTTGCTCTGTTCCAGATGAAGTCATGGCAAAATCTGGGCAACAGAAACCAAAACATAAACATAGTAACATGCATTTCACAATGACAAAACAATAAATACGGCGATGTATCAAAACACATTATTTTATTCAACTAAAGCCACTGACTCTGCCAGAGGACGTGTTTTTTTATGCTGTTGTTTACAATGTGGCACGATGTTTTCATGTTATATAAAAGGACGTGTGATATTATTCAGGAAACAAAAGCCTCGCAAATGTCCAACCAATCCGACCGATGATTGCCAGCGGCCTTGAAAACAGCCTGCGTGGCTCAGTTTCAGTGCATCTGAGGTGACCGGGGTGTTTTGCTACCAAAGTCAACAAACATTTCATTCACTTTAATTCAGTGTGTGTGTATCACAATCATCATGCAATGAAACGCGATCTGTTTGTGTTCAACAGTGGATAAATGGAAGTGTTAGAAAACGATTGTCTGTTCTCTAACAGTTGCTCACCTTCCTGATCTCAAACAAGATCCAGTTTCTGGACCCATGCAAATAAGCCCATCTGTGATGCTGGACCGCGGCCTGACGGCACATTTACTCAACATGGACACAAACAGACTCACCTGATAACAGCAGTAGCCTCTAACACTCACACCCACTCATAAACAACATATTTACTGACAAGTTATGATTTTTATAAAATGTACAATTATTTTTCTTTTTAAAATTGTCAATTTTTAAAGGGGGACAAATGTAGATTACATTGATTTGTGCGTTACACAAAAAAGAATATATATATAAAATTAAATATTCAATATTTTAATAAAATATTTGTTCAATTGATTGAATTGATCAAAAGACAAAAAGAAAAAAGAAAACAATCAACCTAAATCTCAGATGTTAATGCTTTGAAGCAGCTTAAAGTACTACAAAAATTATTTCTGGAATTATTAAGAAATTAAAATTAAATTCCTAAATTAAAATAAAATTAAAAAATTAATTAATCAGTTATTAAAATGAATTTTAAAAAAATATTAAGAATTACTAAATCAGAACAAAAAAACATACAGAACAGAACAACATATTACTTATTACTTTATTATTATTACAAAATCTTACATTTTAATTATGTGTGCGTACGTATACACACACACACACACACACACACACACACAGTATATAAAAAATACATATATAACATTGTTAAATATTATTATATAACAAATTATAAAACTCTATATTAAAGATAACTATATATTAAGATCAACTAACCAGTTGTTGGTTGACTAACCTTATTATTCGTTGGGCGGCGTACTGGTGTAGGTTACGAAACTGGGCCGACATGTTGGCTAGGGCAGCCAGGCAGTTCGTGTGGAGGTATTTATCCTGAAGCAGGGGAAATCAATAAAACCATGCATAAATAATTTGTGTTGTTTCTTCTCGCAGGGCAAAACAGAATGAAATGGCTCCATTATACTTTGAATATAAAAACCCGCTCTGTTCATTGGACTCCCTGGAATGAATATGTTCACAGATCTAATATAAAACTTCAGCAATCTTGTAAAACTCGTGAGCTGGTTGCTGTGAGTCTTGCTGTTGCATAATAAATCTGCATGTGCCCACGGCCAAAGATCTGGATACTTATGGAGCTTCGTGTCTACATGACTGTTTTTGTCACTGGTTCTGGTCTCACCCTGGTCCGTGTCATGTTGAACTGGATGGTCCGAATCACAACCAGGATCAACAGGCTGCCCAGAGAGATCTCCGTTAGAACGCGCTCCGTATACCATGAGATGTTCTTCAATATCTGAGAGAGAGAAAACAACAATAACTAACAATAAAAACATGAGTCGTTGCTCTATTTAAAGGGTGATGAAAAATTGGATAAAAAGGGTCATCCAAGATGTAGGTGAGTTTGTTTCTTCATCAGATTTGGAGAAATGTAGCATTGCATCACTTGCTCACCAATGGATCCTCTGCAGTGAATGGGTGCCGTCAGAATGAGAGTCCAAACAGCTGATAAAAACATCACAATAATCCACAAGTAATCCACACCACTCCAGTCCATCAGTTAACATCTTGAGAAGCCAAAAGCTGCATGTTTGGAATAAAATTGTGATGTTTTTATCAGCTGTTTGGACTCTCGTTCTGACGGCACCCATTCACTGCAGAGGATCCATTGGTGAAACAGCTGATAAAAACATCACAATAATCCACACCACTCCAGTCCATCAGTTAATGTCTTGAGAAACCACACAAACACGCAGCTTTTGGCTTCTCAAGATGTTAACTGATGGACTGGAGTGGTGTGGATTACTTGTGGATTATTGTGATGTTTTTATCAGCTGTTTGGACTCTCATTCTGACGGCACCCATTCACTGCAGAGGATCCATTACTGAGACAGTGATGGAATGCTAAATTTCTCCAAATCTGATGAAGAAACAAACTCATCTACCTCTTGGATGACCTGAGGGTGAGAATTTTCAGCAAATTTTCATTTTTGGATGAACTATTCCTTTAAATATTCTATTTGATAGCGCCATCTTCATATGCACGCCTGAGTAGCTGTGTGGGAGAAGACATCACATCTGCAGATGATATTTTTAACACAGTCATTGAATTCATTTGTGTCGCACTTTAAGAACACCAACAGAGTTTGAATAAAACTGTGAGAGATGTACATAAAGAGATGGATGGAGTACAAAAGGTCTGACTTTATCAGTCTGAAGAGCAAATTGTTTAAAAGCTATTTAACATTAATGTTCATCTACCAGGTCAATCTGAATTTCAAAGATCTTGCACTTATTTTAGATGCAAATAACTCATGTAACTAACAAAAACCACAGATTAAGCTAATATTTAAAAAATGTAAAAAGTATTAAAACAAAAGCCAGTTTGAAAACACTCTTGGTCAAATTTGGTCTTTGTTATTGAGTTGCTGGAGCACAATGTGCACTGCTGTAATTTTCTGCAAACCACAACCTTTAAACAATTGATGATGTATATTCTGAACTAACAGTGTCTGTGTGTGAGTTTTGATGAAAAACATTAGAACATCTGATGCATTTAAACAAAAATCGACATATAAATGTGCAAACACGTGTGCATGCATATCACTGTTATTTTCATACAGATCTATAAACATAACCTCAATGGAAAACCAACCGCAAATACAATCTTTCCTGCATCAGTTACACAAATATACTGAGAGAACACACACACAGACTCGTGTCATGTCGGTCTTATTCCCAGCCTGGAATGACAGTTCCAGACTCGAACCTCTATCTAAGCACATATTCACACACACTGAAACCACTACAGGCTCTCAGATGAAGTTTTCAAGGCAGATTCTTTATGTTTTAATCTGATTTCTGATCAGGATTATGTGTGTGACCTCACCACTTCATGTATGGAGCGGTTGAAGGTTTCGTCCTCCGTGAGAATGAGGAGGATGATGAGGGCCATGTACACATGATGAGAGTTTCTCTCCTCGACATGATACAAGATCTCAAGAATCGGCAACACCTACAGAGACAGAAAGACAAAATACTTTACTATTGTGCAAAAAACAAAAAAAACTAGTGGTCAACTGATGTTGATATTTGATTTATTTGTTTATTTATAGATTTCATTAAAAGACATTTAAAACTACAAGCATAACAATTGCTGAATTTAAATCTACATTTATTTGACATATTTACTAAATTATATATAATTTGAAAATAAACATTAAAAATATTTGAAACAACTGTAAAATAAATAAATAACATTTAAATAAAATCTGTAAAATTAAAAATGAAAATAAATGACATTTAAATCATTTAAAAATCTGTAAAATAAACATCTTTAAAATAAAAAACAATCAGAAAATAAAGGAAATATAAATAATTAAAATAAAAAAATACATATTTTTATTTTTCTGTAAAATAAACAGATTTATATTTTAGATGGCAACTTTTTTATTCTGTATAGAAACTGTTAAAAAATGAATAAAAAGGAAATAAACACTGTAACCAACATTGCAGTCATTTTTTTTTTTTTCAAATAAAGTTTGCGCTAATTTTACATACAGTACACAGTGAATATGACATGAATATGACAGTGGCAAACTGCGCAGTGTAGTTTGAAATCAAGGTTTTAAAATTTCAATCAGCGAGAAAGTATATGAGAAAATATTATAGCGTTTGCCTTAATATTACTAACAACAGAAAAGCAAATGTTATAATACTTATTCGTTTCCTTTTTTGTTTAATAGTTCTAATAATGTATGATCTTCTGACACATGGGCCAAACAGAAAAATGTAATGGCCAATGATTAAAAATGCCAAATATCAACCCACTAAAAAAAACACATCCCCGTCTAAGTAGTCCTGCCCACAATGAATGATTGACAGCAGCTGCTGCATTTGAATAAATGCATGCGTTCTGCAAGCACTATGAAATGCATATGCACAGGTGCTGAATGTGCGCGTGATCTCACCAGGTTCTCCATGTCCGTGCGGGACAGTATGTACGTCCTCATGTTGCTGTTCTGGTGCAGTAGCATGTAGAGCAGTAACGTCACCTGGTCTGATTTCTGCTGCTCGCACAGCGCTGTGTACAGACTGTTAAAGTTGATCTGAAACGTGTGAGGCTGAGGAGACGGGATGGATGAGGAATCTGAAACACACACAGTAGCACTTTCAGTTAAATTAATTCCATTAATTGAGCTAAAATCACCAACAAACTGGGGCCGCTTTGGTTCACCTTGAGTGTTTTTGAAGCAGGTAACAGCCTGGCGGTAAGGGTTCGGACAGTCCGGGCCGTCGGTCAGATTGGCCAGAACCAGCAGTAATAACAGACTCTGATTGGACAGCGGGAGAGGGTTCTGATCTTGCTCCACCCCCGGCCTGCTGCCGACTCCGCCTAATGTGAACACGCTCCACAACCCACCTGAATAACACAGAAACCAATTACATCTGTTGGAAAATGATCAACATGGAGTGACTTTAATTAATGGTGATAAAGGAAAAGGTCACGTCAAGCATTTATGACATTTATGACTCACATTATCATTGACAATAATTCCTGCACTGAGATCTGAGATACAAACATGAATATTCCTACGGGAATATTTTCAGTTTTCATTTAGATTTTTGTTTTAGTAATTTTGTTATGTGCTTCTGTCATTTTTTTGTTGATATTTTTAAATATATATATATATATATGAAGAGTTTGGTTCCAAAACGCGATAAACACCATCTTTACAAAAATTGAGTTTCCGCCAAAATCAGTATTGTATCTGGTCGGTATTGAAAAGTCAATTTTTAATTTTACGCAAAATGCGATATCCGCCGAGTTATTCTGTCATGTTTTCTCCCTTTTTTTCCAAACCGCGACAAACGGCAGTCTCTCTTCTCTGCAGAATGCGGTATATCCGCTCAACCAATCACAGCGCACCATTCCACGCACTGTAAACAGTAACAACCAATCACAGCGCACCACTCCACGCACTCTAGACAGTATTGGCGGAGCTTTGAATACACCCGGCATCCTAGTTTTCCTCATCTACTTTGTACTTTGTGATCAACAAACAAACTTAGGGCTGCACGATAAAACGCATGTGATTGTCATGCGCATCTCGTCAGTAAAGCCGGTTCCGTGATTAGTAGTAAATCTCCATCACGTGCTTT